ATAGACCTTATCTCAAACAAACAAACAAATATATAAAGAGTTTATTTTAAAAATGCATTAATACATTTCTCTGCTTTGATTTCTGGTTCAGTCAATATTGAGAGCTATAATGCATGTACACAAGAAATGTGGTTTGCTTAAAAATTTTGAGAAACAGAAAGGGGTCCTAAGACCAAAAATTTTGAGAACTGTGAGAACTGCTGCCTAAGAACCCTGCTGTGGTCAGTCACCCCTGCAATCTTGCTGCTTTTCCCCTGGAATTTTTTTCATATAGTTTTTGTTTTACGTCCTTTTTTCAAATATTAAAATTTTGCTTTCTGACTAGGTAATTCTTACATGATACAACACTTAAAAGCCATAAAAGGGCATATCCTGTTACCTCTCTGTGTTTGTGGGGAATTGGTTCCAGCATCCCTGTGGATACCAAAATCCAAGGTTGTCCAAGTCCCTTGTATGAAATGTAGTATTTGCATAACCTACAAAATCCTCCTCTCTAGGTTGCTTACAATACCAGCTACAGTTTTAACGCTATATACATGGAATAATGACAAGGAAGAAAAGTCTGTACATGTTTAGTACAGACACAATTTTTTTTTACCAAAATACAATGTTTCTCAACCCATGGTTGGTCAACTCTTCAGATGCGGAACCTGCAGATACAGAGGCCAATTCCAGGGAAAGGCTTTCCCAGCCCACTCCAACCTAACTCAGCTCTTCCTCCCCAGAGGCGATCACTGAAAGTGCCAGTTTTCCCCTCTGCTTCTGGGCAAGGCAGAACCTGCGACAACATAAGTAGATTTTCAACTTCTCTCTTTCTCTAACTTTATAAGAGAAGATGATTAATATTACTTCTTTATTAAAAATAGTGTCTTGAAGGGGGGTCTAAGGCAAAGGTCAGTGATAGCTATGTATAGCATTTGGAAGGCCCTTTGGTTTGATTCTCAGAACCACATACACACAAAAAAGTGCTTTACGGTGTTTGTTTGTTTGTTTGTTTGTTTGTTTGTTTTTTGTCTTTTTGAGACAGGTTCTCACTATGAACCTCAGACTGGCCTTGAGCTCACTTTGTAGCCCAGGCTGGTATCAAACTTGCAACGATCCTCCTGCCTCACCCTCCCAAGTGCTGGGATTACAGGCGTGCACCACCACGCCTGGCTTTACTTTACTTTTCATGCCAACTGCTTTACAAATAAAAAGCCAAGTCTGTGTCCTCCCTCGAGCATTAGTAGCACCGCCTGGCGGGAGGGCTGGGAGGAGAACTCAGCAGGGGAAAGGGGCAGTGTAGGTATCTCTGAGGACACTAGGATTGTCTAGCTCCCCCTGAGGGCTGGGCCTTCCTTTCTTACCACTAGGCAAACTCTGATCCTGTGTTTTCTAGGAGGTTTTTTTATGTATCTTTTCATCAAACTTTTAACACCATCTCTGAACACGTGTTGGTAAGAACATGACAGGTGCCAGCACCGCAGCAGTGTTAAGGGAGGTGGTGGATATGATGCCTGTGACACTGAGGACCTCTTACCAAACTGGCTTTCCACAGAGAAGTGCATTCACTCTCCTTAGTGCACAGCTCTACCTCCCTCTGCACAGACGAGTACTCACATATCAGGATGGTGGGCTTGGCTGTTATAGGTAGCTGCAGCTCTTTCCCTTCTTGTGGACCCACCAAGATTTTGGGCCTCACAGGATCCCAGAAAGAGAGGGAGAACACCTTACTTTTCCTCCTGATAGTCACTGGCATTCCTGACTTATCGTGTCCCTCTGCCGCATGAATGACTGTCTACTATGCACCCTCCTCCGACAGCAGTCAAGGGGTCATCTTGGGTGTAAAGGGATTGTGGAAATTATATGATCAAAACATCAGAGATCTGCAAAAAAGGCTCTGGGCTCTTCCTACGATACAGGTGCTCGGGGCTGGGCAGTTGAACTCTGGGTAGGACCCTGGTCCCTTGCTGCTTGGCTCTTCAATGGGGAAACAGGCACTTTGGGGTCAAGCACTAGGTGATCTCCACTGAGGCTTTCCCTGTGCAGAAGAGACCAGGCAGGGCCAGCTGCCCAGCTCTGAATGCCTGTGGACTGAACACAGTAGCAGCCTTGCTGCTGAGATTCCCTGGCCCCACAAAAGTCTTACTGGGTCAGCTCCTCCCTCTGGAGGTGAGGACAGCCACCGAGTCCAGCTTGCCTGTTACCTGGCAATGCATAGGGTCACTTTTGGATAATCTTCTCTGTGCTTCCCCAGAACAAGAGGAGGTTTTTGGGGTACAAACCTCTCCTGCAGCTCCCTGAACTGCCTCTTTTTCTCACTTGGCTGGTGCCTTTGTGCATGTTGGGGTACCTCGTTAGTTTTGGAGTTGGTGACAATACTCCATAAAGTAGCATATGACCTTACTTTCCAACCAGTCAACAAGGCCCAACAAACAACACATATATTCAAGAGAGACAGCGCCACACAAGGTGGATCTTTGCTAACTGGAAATGAGACAGGTACAAGCTACACAGACACATTTCCTCTCCTTTCTCTCTTCTCCAAGGTGCAGTTCCTTCTTCAACCCCTGCAGAGAGGTCTGCAGCAGGGCAGTCAGCTAACCAGAGACCTTCTGGGGTTCTTTCTGGTACTAGCATGTGCCACTGGCATAGAATGGGTGTTTGTCTCTACTTCCTATTCTCTCCTTCTCAGCACTTTGAGCTTGTATCCCAAGAGCACTGCTAGCGCCTTAATTCTTGCCTGAGCCTCTGTTTTTTACAGAATCTAGGCTAAGACAAAGGATGCTCTTTGTCCACTAGGGTTTTGGTTACAATACTGGTGTCAAAGGCATACATTAGGTAAATGACAAGCCCCTCTCTTGGAATACTTCTGATACCCTCTTCAAGGCTGGCACTATTGTTACCTTCATTTTGTGATGAAGAAACTGAGGCTCGGTGAGGTGAAGCCACCCACTGGTGGTCACATAGCAGCAGAGCTGGGAACATTGCCAGGACCCAGTGTCATTCTAAGACCAGTCTGGAGAGCACAGCACTCAACACCTCCAATGTAGGTTATGACCTACTTACCCCAGAACCTGAGATGATGCCCCTGTACTGTGTGGCTCGTCCCAGCTGGGCTCCGAAGAGCCACACTTCAGCCTGCAGCCTCTGCCCAGCCGATGGGGCACTTGGCAGGGGAACAAACAGACTGTGGAAATATGAGGAAAAAGAAATGCCAAGACTTACCAGCTCTCCCCTCAGCCACTCCAGGGTCGGCCCAAGATTCAGGACTGGCTGTCCTGCTGTTTTCATTTCAGTGTCCTTGAGAGAGACCTTGACAATGACCTGCTATGGGCCTGAAGGACCTTTAATTGTACAGTCCCTAACCTCCTTCAGGCTGGCTGCAGGTTCCAGGCAAGCCACTGAGGATAGAGTTAATGAGGGCAGGAAGTAGCTCACACTGGAAAATGTAATTTAATTTTTTAAAAAAGAGCTTCAGTGCTTTGAGCAGAATAAGAAAGAGATGACAGAGACCATTAATGCTTGAGGATCTGAGTATGTACCAGTATCAGAAGTCAAGATCTGATGTCAATAGCATCAGGGATCACAAAGTTTTAAATGATACCAGTGATGGCTATCATGAGATGGGTGTCCCTTTCTAAAGGTTTGTTCTCTGATTTACATATAAAGTGTATATATACCTTCCCTGAGGCAGATTTTCCACCTGTGGCCCCAGAGCCCCTCTTTCCTCCCTCACTTATCTATGGCATCTAGGTAAAAGGAAAAGCTCACTTTCTAAGTTCCCTCACTTCTAGGATGCCCTGTGATCCATTTCTAGTGAATGAGATCAAAGGAGAAATTTGCTGTTGCACTTAAAAAATTATTTACCTTCCTAATAAAAGGGAAAATGTTACAGATATATTCCTTTTACTCCTATGTTATCCTCCTCCTTTCTGCCTTGAATGTAGATGTGATATCTGGATCTACAGCAACCATCATGAAACCATAAGACAAAGGCCAAGAAAATGAAAGAAATTTGAAATTACTGAGTCACAGAATCAGCAATAGGATGTGCCTGTTAGATGAGATGACAGATTCCATGAGTAATTGGGCACTTTGCTGTTTGCAGGCAAACACATTAGAAAATGGGCTCTTCCTCTTTATTCTTTACAGTACACTATGAAATGGGTTTCTTTAACTATCCTTTCCAATAAAGACTTCTTGAGTGTCTACTATGTGCCAAGTTCTACTCCAGGCACTAGGTATGTAGCCTAAAACTACAAAGACAATGACCTGGGAGCTAATACCCTAGCAGATGGAAACAAACAATAGGATCTATTCTCATGTAAAGTTTTTTAAAAAATTATTTTATTCATATAAACTAGGAACCTCAAACCAAAAATTAGCATAGCGATCCCATATAAAGATCTGAAGTGGTCGGCAAAACAAACTCAGTCCATGTTGGAAGGACTTTTTCTCAACTCCAACCTCACAAGATCCCCGCAGCTAAAGCTTAGGTGAATTCATAACTCAAAATGACAGCACACGCAGGGAAACTACCCCCAGAGCGAGGACCCAATATCCTCTTCATAGAAACTGGAAGACTTCCTGCTAGCACCGCCTCTTAAAGGTTTCAACAGCTCTCAATGGCACCATGGGACCTATACCAAGTCTTTAACAACACTTGGGCCTTTGGGACACTTACACAAATTAGAGCAACCATCTACTTTTGCACTTGAGTTTATGGGTTGGTGGGATGGCCTGCTTCAAGATGCACCTCTGCAGGTCTGAGGCCTCATGGTCGCCTGGTGGCCTCCTGGCATCACTGGGGTCCTGGGACAAGCTCTTCTCTTGGCAGTGGCAAAGGATAAGAGGCGAGTGGAACCATGTGAGGCCACTTGAGACCTAAGCACAAAGCTGCCACATTGCCATTTTTTCTATCCACTTCTGGGCAAAGTGAGTTATATGACCAACACTGAGCCCCGTAAGGGGTGAGGATGGACACCCATCTACAAGGAGATCATGCAAGAGGGTAGAGTCAGGGAGGGAGAGACGTGGAACCAGCAGTCAGTTCAAAAATGGGGCAAACTGAGAAGATTTAGGAACCTATCCCTCTGAAGTAGTTATCATCATTACCTGCATTTTGTAGAAAATTATCCATGGATCCTATTATTAACCACTTTTTACAGGTGAGGCTTTGAGAGGTGTGAATTTTCCTAGGGTTGCTCCAGCAGGAAGGCAACTGAGTTGGAATTAAAATAATTCTCCTTGGCCAGAGTGGGGAGAGTCTCGCCAGCTATGAAGTATGAAGGGCCAGGCAGGGGCTCAAGCCAGCCTATGTGTTTCCTGCCCTACTCAGGAGTGGCCCGAAGAGGAAGGTTCAGTAGTTAGTGTCCGTTGCTCTCTGCCTGGCCTCCAGCCCTGATACCTAATTACCCTGAAACATTCTTTCTGTGGTTAACTTGTTCTAATGCACTTTCATTTATTTTTAATCTCACTCAAGATTCTGGCTCAGAGCACATTTGACTTCAAAGGTTCAGAAAGTGTTTGGCACATGGAGATGAGGGGATGTGGAGCCAGGAGGCCTGGACAGGGAAGGAACTTCAACCCTGAATGAGGAAAAGTGTACCACCAAATATGAAAGCCAGAGTGGCCACCCACTCATCATCCATGAGCAGCCAGAAGTATGGCTTCCACAGGCTCAACCCTTGAGTGCAACTGAGGACAGAGTGGTGAGCAAGAGGGAGTTCACAGAGTTGATGGTCCATTAGCAAACAACTGGTTCAAAAATCTTATTTTCTGCCACGTATACTCGGTATATGCATGTGTGTGTGTACGTATGTATGCATATATGAATCAAATGAATTTACATGTATGAAATTAATAAATGAATTCGCACATGAAGAAACTACATCTCAGATGGGGGCTGTGAGTTCTTCAAGCAAGTGAGCAGCTATAACAAAGATTGCAGGATATTCTTCAGTTCCTTCTTTCTTTCTACATTCTTTTATTTTTCCCAGTACCAGGAATTGAACTCGTGATCTTGCTCTTGCCAGGCAGGCGCTGTGCCACTGAATCCCCCAGCAGGCGCTGTGCCACTAAATCCCCCAGCCCTCCTTCTTCGTTTCTCACAGGGAAATATACTAACTTTTTCCAGACTCCCTTGAAGATAAATGTGCCCTATAATTAACTCCTGGCCAATGGGATACCAATGGAGATTATGTGTTCATAGTCCCTCATCCCTCTGCGCTCCATCTGTGGACTTCAATGCAGCAATAAGCATGGAACTGGAGCAGCAATCCTGACCATGTTAAATAATTAGATCTCAAATGTTCCCCTAAATTCTGGTGTGTGTGGAAGGTGATTGAGTTCAGTAGCTGAATGTAGTGTTTGGAGGTGGGGCCTGGCTGAAGATGGGTCACCAAAAGATTGACCTGGAAAGGTGTATTCTCATCCTCAGCTCCTCTTTTCTCTCTCTGCTTTCTGACGGCCTTGAGTTGAGCAAGCTTTCCTCGGCCATGTCCCTCTGCCATTCTGTTCCTGCTTTGGAGCCAGCTAATCATGGACTAAAACTGTGAACCAGAAAACCTCTTTTCCTTTAAATTGTGGGTGTTGCTGGGCGTGGTGGTGCACACCTGTATTCCCAGCACTTGGGAGGCTGAGGCAGGAGGATCATTGTGAGTTCATGACCAGCCTAGGCTACAAAGTGAGCTCAAGGCCAGCCTGAACTGCACACTGAGACCCTATCTAAAAAAATAAAATAAAATAGAAATTGTGGGTGTTGTATATGTTGTCCCCACAACATGAAAGTGACTAAGACAACTCACAAGATAAGCATAGCAGAACAAGATGGAAGGAATCCAGGCCTCCTGCAATTGGTGAGCCACCATGTCAGCCTCAACTCTCAAGCAAACTTTTGTAGGACAGAGAAATGAATTCTGTGCTATTGCTGACATGATTATTTTGACTTTTTCCTGTTACAGGAGTTGAATAAATGTCCTAAAAGTACAGCAGCAAGGCTAGAGCTGAAGTTGAATCCTTTTACTTTCTCGCTCAAGACTTTTCCTTAAGTGCCCTACCTGTGTATTTAAGGGACCATTGTCTTTAAGCATTTTCCTTTAAGCATTTCTACCTCCCTGGGTAGATAGAGAGACCCAGATCTAAGAGTGGCAGGTGGTCTGCCCTGAGACATCTCTCAGATGGAGTAATTGGGCTCAGAGATGTCACTTAGCTCTTCCCCTATATTCAACCCCTAGCCTAGGGCTCTTCCCACCTTTGAGACTACCTCCTTTCATATTTTGGGCACCTCATCTACTTTGCTAAATATAAATTAGGTGAAGTCCAACAGAGAACTTCACACTGTGACACTCTTTGAGTCTACCCTTCCTACTATGCAAGCTGGTACCATTACACCAACCAGAGGAGTGTGGGCACAGAGTGCCCAGGTGCCAGGGCTTTGGACCCACCTCTTCTGTGGCTTCTTGCCTTGACCTAACAGGCTTCAGGCTATGGCCTGTGTTTATGTCCACATAGGTTCTGAACATATATTCCCCGGGCCTTCTGTCCCATAGCAAATGCTGTAGGGCCCCATACATGTCCCCTCATCACTCACCTTCTCTGCATGTGCCTGTGGCTTCCTAGAGCAAGTATGTGTGACTCTGCTTAGGGGCTACGCTTGACCTGAGCAGAAGATGGGCTTGAAGTGCAAAGAACAACCTGCAACAATAACAGACAGACACTAGAGGATAAATACCTCAGCTCACCAGCAATATGACACTCATCCCAGTAGGACTGAGCCCCAGCTGCTTATGGCAGTCACCTACCCACTGGTGCACTTGTGGGGTACTGGTTGCCCTTCCTTACTGGTCTCACACCCCCATTCCTCTACTGTGCTTCCTAGGATGGCCTTCAAACAAATCACTTGCACTCAAATTCTCCTCTTCAGCCTACTTCTGGGGGAACTCAACCCACAGCATGCCTTCTCTGGCTTGAGTGGTGGTGTTCACTCCAAAATCTATGCTAAAACTTGATCTTCAATGTAGGAAGAGCTCTGGTTAATGGGCAGTAATTGGCACCCTTATAAAAGAGCTCCAGGTTGAAGGGAGTGGACTTATCTTCTGTCTTCCAATATTCAAGGCCAGAGCAACAAGGGACCATCTTGGAAGCAGAAAGTAGCCCTCACCAGACACCATCCTGGCCTCTAAAATTTTAAGAAATGAATTTCTGTTCTTTATAAGTTACCTAGTCTCAAGAATTTTGTTATAGCAGCACAAATGGGCTAAGACAGTGTCTATCCATATGCATCTTATACACGTTTCCACACCTCTTTCCATATATACCTGTATTATATGTGAGTGTTCTCTACACAGGTATACAAGTCCTTCAGCTCTATATACATGCTCCCTGTATACATGTGGTCTATGCACTCCTGTCATATACCCGTGCATCCATTACCACACTGTCCTACACTTTTCTGTCAGGGACAAAGGGCAGCCTGAACTTGATGAGTCATGGAATCTCTGGTAAAGCAGTTGGGACATTGAGAAAAGCATCCTTGACCTCAGCTAGCCTTGGCTGTGACTGATGCCAGCGGCTGTGCTGACAGGAATCCCAGTTTCCTCCCCCAGTAAGTGAGCTCTGTGTTACCAACCTCTCTGAGCACTGAGGACCAGGTAAAAAAACACAGGGAGCATCACACAGGAGTGGCTCTATCAAGTACCTTCATCCCCTTGCTCCTCCTGAGCCTCCCTTCTCCCAGGAGACTGGCTTGAATGTGGCTAATCTAGCCACCAGGCCTTGTGCTGACACATGGAAGAGAGATGACAGGGTCTCTGTCTTTAAGGGAGTGTGGGGTGGGGACGTTTGCTCTCACCCCTCTCTCCTCCCCCTTCCTCATCAGGGAGAGAACATAGCACCGAAGTTTTTTATTCCCCAAGGCTGAGAATGCTACACAGACCAGGTGGAAGGAAGGAGCTGGTAGGGCTGATGGAAGATGTGTATGCATGTGTGGGTGGATAGACACTTCTCTAGGGCCTGGAGTGTGACCTTTGGTTTATTTCCTCAAATCCCTGAGCCAGGTCCCATTACTGAGAGATCAGAATTGCTCCATAAAAGCATTACAGTTCTAGGGAAAGCAAAGGAGCCAGGCTAGGGCAGGGGGTAAACAGGAAACAAATAAACCAACACAAACACCAGAGCTCAGCCCGATTTGGATACAAGTGCACACCAAGGAGTGGGCCCTGGAATTTTACGTCCATCTGAGGTCCCCAAATCAACCTGGGAGGCAGAAGCCCTTAGATCTGATCAAACTTTTTCTACTTCAATATGGCAGTATGGTTAGAGCATCTCTTCTTTCCTTGGTACTTAACTTTTTCAAATATGAAATGGGATGAATATTAACAAACTCTCGAGAATTTTCCAACAGCTTTGAAAATAATGATGAAACCTGGGATAGTGGTCCCAAGCACCAAGACAAGATCTTGTTTCAATATTAGCTGTGTGACCTTGGACACAGAGTTATTAACCACCTTGTGCTTCAATTTTTCTAGAATGGAGATAATAATAGTACCTAGGTGATGGGCAGCTAAGATGACTGCATTGATATTTGTGAAGCATGGGGAGGTGGGGAGTACTAGGTGAATAATTATCAAATAAAATAAACATACGAGCAATTTGTTGCTCTTCAACTTTGAGCCCTGTCAGTGTTGGTTCCTCTTGCAGGAACACTTTCCTTGCCACCCGTTTGCCCAGCGAATCTCAGCCTCACTTGGGTTCGGGCCTCCCTGTCACTCCTGGACTTTCTTCAGCCTGGTTTCATAGTTTTCTTATCTGAAACACATGAGGCTGGATTGGATCTGTACTTCCCAACATTCAGCCTCTCATATGCCTCCTCTTCAAGGTTTCCTACCACTTCTACTTGGATATAATTATGTCTGTCTTCAAGTTGACTATGTTAGAGAAGAATGCTTCTTTGGGGCGACAGAAAATCTCAAGTAATAGTAGCACTAAAGCAGAAGTTTATTTCCCTCACACATAAGAATATGACAAATTACTCCAGGCTGTTATTTTCATCTGGTTATTAGGCACCAAGGTTCCTTCCATTTTGTTGCCCTCTCATCTTAATGGGCTTCCATCTTGTGTCCAAAGTGTTGCTCAAACCCCAACCACCAGGTCTACATTCTGACAGCCTAAAAGACAAAGACAGGAGAAGGAAGGATTCCTTCCTTTCAGGAGACTGCTTTTCGCCTATACCACTTTCTCTGCTATCGTAATGTCTTACCATTCACTTGGCCATACCTAGCTGCAAGGGTGGCTAAGAAATGGAATACTTGTTCTGGGCACATTATGCTTGCACTAACCAAGGATTTTATCCAGTGGGAAAGAAGGTGGGGTGGTGAATGAATACTGGAGGAAAATAGCAGTCTCTATTGCATTAACCTTACAGAGACTCATTTTTTTTTTCTGCCACTACCCTAAGCAATCTTACCTGTGATATTTCTAGCTTCATAAGCTTGTTAGAGATTTTCCTGAAACAATTTAAAATGAATACTTGGCCAATGAAGTGATCACATGTGTATAGATAGAGTTTAGGTGAAAGGAAATTGTTATTTGGTGATCCCTAATGGTCTGTGTCTGCCAGTGTTCATAACCCAATATGGATCCCTCTTGTTGAATCCAGGCTGGCCTATGACTGATAATATGCAGCAGAAAAATGCTGGGCCAATTCCAGTCCTCAACCTTAAGAAGACCCGGTAGCTTCCTATTTAGTGCTCTGGGAAATTGACTGTTGAGTGCCATGTGCATATTCTGACCACCTGAAGGGACCATGCGGAAGACAACAGAAACCCCCAGCTGACAGGGATCACCAAGCCTATAGGTACATGGTGACAACTGAGGAATTCCCATCAGCTCCTAGTTGTTCATGCCACCCAGCTGACATTGTGTGGGAGAGACCTGAGCTGTCCCAGCTGAGACAAGCACCCACTGAAAAACTGTGAGCAAATACAAAATGATTTCCTACTAAGCTCCTAAGTTTTGGAGTGGTGCAGCAATAGCTAACCAAGCACATATTTATCTATGTAACACCTAAAAGCATATTATGTGTCACCACCCTTTGGAATATTCTCGATTCTGTGGACGTTCTAATAAGAGATCTGCATTCTGTCTTTCACAGATCACACAGTACATGTGATACATAATTTCAGCTAATGTTTGAGGACTGACTATGTGCCAACATGACCACAGTAACCTCTTACATGGTCTGTTTTCCTTCTTGTCCCTCTGTGCCTGAAAGCTGCCAGGAGAAGATTTTCACAGTGCAAATCTGACCACATCACTTCCAGGGGTGTTACCCACTGTAAAGTCCAAAGGGGATCTTCTTAGCTTCAAGTACACATTCAGACTCAACATATGACCATAAGTCACACTTGCACTGATCTGCTGTATAGGATACAGGACAGGAACTCGGGTTTTTCAACATGGCAGCCAGTGCAATCAGGTGCTCCTTTAAGCAGAAGTCCCTGTTGCCTTCAGCAGAGCAGAACTGCTCAGGTGCAAAAGGGAAGTCCCACTGGGTAGGTGCAGGGCCAGTCCTGGTTTAAAAGCTGTCATGACCCATGGAAGCCAAGACTTTTAACCCACCCAGGTGCATGATTACCATGCTCAGGAAGCCCAAGGTATAATTTCCAGTCAGCTATTTGTAGTTCTTTCCAGTTGTTAAAAATGGCAACTTAATTTTTTAGAAAAGTTTTAGATTTATAAGGGGGGGAAGTTTTGGGTTTATAAGAGGGGAGATAGTGCAGAGAGTTCCTATGCATTATATCACATTAAAGTTTTAGAAAAGTTTTAGATTTATAAGGGGGGAGATAGTGCAGAGTTCCTATGTACCACATCACCAGTGTTTTCTATCATTAGCATCTTACATTAGTGTAATAAATATGTTCCAATTAATGACTAAATATTGATGCATTATCATTAGCTAAAGCCCATACTGTATTCAGATTTCCCATTTTTATGTGCTGTACATTTTCTGTCCCAGGAGCTCATTAAGTATACCACACTACATTTCACTGTGATGTCTCCTTAGGGTCCTCTTGTTTGTGAGAGTTTCCCAGACTTTCCTTGCTTTTGATGACCTTGACGCTTTTGAGGAAAATTAATAAAAAATTGTATAGAATATCTTTCAGTTGGCATTAGTCTGATGCTTATCTCATGGTTAGACTGGTGTCATGAGTTGGCAACTGAAGACCACAGAAAGAAAGCACTAATTGTACCACGTTGTATCAAGTGTGGACACAGTGAACATGGCTTGACGCTTGATGTTGACCATAGCCATTTGGTTGAAGTGACCAGGTATGTGAGGGTTCTCCATTGTAAATTCAGTTTCTCTGTCTTTCCATCTTGTGCACTTGGAAAGGAAGTTACTACGCAAGCCACACTTAAGGATTCAGGGTTTATGGCCCCATTTCTTGGGAACCAAATAGATACCTACTTGGAATTCTGCATGGGAATTTTATCTCTTCTCTTCATTTATTCATTTATTTGTTCAGTTATTTATATCAGTGTGAACTCATGCACATTTATTTCATATTTTTTACAATCCAATATTACTTTCTTTTGTTGCTCATATTTTTCCTTATGACCATTGTTATGGTTTGTGTCTAGATGTCCCCCCAGAGCCTCATGCAATCATGGGGCGGGCTTCTAGACGTTTTTTTGACTCATGGTCCAATGCTTGGATTACAGGTGTGAGTGCTACACCCACCCTGGGACAGGTTGCCTGCATACAAAGGGAGGGAAAGAAGCTTGCACTCTGCTGCTCTCCCTTTTTGCTCTGGCTGCTTTTGCTCTTTTCCACCACCATGAACTGTTGCCCCCTGCCATGTGCCACTCTGCCTTGGAGCCAGTCAAGTAGGGACTGAAACCTCCACAACCGGTGAGCAAAATAAACCTTACCTTCCTTAATTCTGGGTGTCAGGTATTTTGTCTCAGCAATGAGAAAAAAGTAATAAACACAGCCACTGAAAATTCTTTAAGTTGCCCTATGTCCTTTGACACCCTTCCATCAGTGTGTATGTTGAACTTTTTAAAATTTTCTGACATTGTAAGACGCTCCAGGCTCACCTTGCATATTTCCTGATATTGACAAGTAACCAAAGGTCAAATTCACTTGCGAACGGGGAAAGGTTTGGTTAGCCCAGGCCTCTATGTCTCCGTGAGTTCTGTGCTCTGGGCCCCTCCTTTTCTTCACCTTAACGCACCTTTCTTTCCTCTAGGCCCTTTGAAGGAAAGAAGCAGAGGCAGTCACTCTACTCACCACCTGTTCACCACACCTGCATGCTTGGCTCTGTGGGATGGGGCATGGGCCCTGTTCTCCAGCAGCTGCCAGTCTGATGGAGGAGGCTGTCCTTCAACAGAAAATGTCAACAGAGACAAGGGCACTAATGCAGGGGAGAGGTAAGCCCAGATGGAACGGCTCCTGGGGTGAGGGGTGTGTGGGAGGCGGGTGGTGGGCTTCTCAGCAGAGGAAGCACTGCAGCTGGGCCTTGGAGGGTGGCGTGGGCGGCCACCAGAACACCCCAGTCCCACAGGTCAGGGGCAGGTACTCCCCCAGACACTTCCTTTCAGCCTGCAGGTGGCGTCCTTGAGCCATGCAGCCCGACGCTCTGGAGGTTTTGGACTTGGGTATCTCAGAGGGGACCCTAGATCCTACTCCGGATTGTGTGTGCGTCTCGGGGGTGGGGGAACGGTGTGTGGGGAGGGCGGGCACCCGGGCTCGGCGCAAACGGGGCGCCCCAAGGCGGAGGCGGGGTCTTCTCCAGCTCCTCCCCCACGGCCCGAGCCCGGGGACCGCGGGTTCGGAGCCTGGGTTTCCACAGTCAGTGCAAGCAAAACAGATGCGCCCCAGGGGAGGGGGAGGCGGAGGGACGTGCACCCCCGCCCGGTCCCAGCCCCTCACCGCCTCCCGGCCCTCCCCGCGCTAACTCTGAGCGCCTGGTCGGCTGCGGGCGGAGCTCGATTCGCGGCGCTGGAGGGTCCCGGCTCCTGCCCCTTCCCGGTCGGGCCCTCCCGCGCTTC